CTCCAAAAACACTAACCAAGCTTCTTATTACCTCTCAAAGCTTTGTGGTTATGGCCGAAGTCCTATGAGTTTTCGGTTTTGGAGCTTCTAAACAGAAAACACTACTTTAGCTTACAGGATCCGGTTGCGGTTCTAAGTGTTATACCCAATCATACACACGTGATCTAGTCATATTTGACTCCAAAAACACTAACCATGCTTCTTATTGCTTCTCAAAGCTTTGTGGTTATGGCCGAAGTCCTATGAGTTTTTGGTTTTGGAACTTCTAAACGGAAAAACAATACTTTAGCTTACGAGATCCGGTTGCGGTTCTAGGTGTTATACCCAATCATACACACGTGATCTAGTCATATTTGACTCCAAAAACACTAACCAAGCTTCTCATTGCATCTCAAAGCCTTGTGGTTATGGCCGAAGTCCTATGAGTTTTCGGTTTTGGTGTTTCTAAACGGAAAACACTACTTTAGCTTACGGAATCCCGTTGCGGTTCTCTGTGTTATACCCAATCATACACACGTGATCTAGCCATATTTGACTCCAAAAACACTAACCATGCTTCTTATTGCTTCTCAAAGAATTGTGGTTATGGCCGAAGTCTTATGAGTTTTCGGTTTTGGAGCTTCTAGACGGAAAAACACTACTTTAGCTTACGGGATCCGGTTGCGGTTCTAGTTCTTATACCCAATCAAAAACACGAGATCTAGTCATATTTGACACCAAAAACACAAACCAAGCTTCTTATTTCCTCTCAAAGCCTTGTGGGTATGGCCGAAGTCTTATGAGTTTTCGGTTTTGGAGCTTCTAAACGGAAAAACACTACTTTAGCTTACGGGATCCCGTTGCGGTTCTAGGTGTTATATCCAATCATACACACGTGATCTAGCCATATTTGACTTCAAAAACACTAACCAAGCTTCTTATTGCTTCTCAAAGCATTGTGGTTATGGCCGAAGTCCTATGAGTTTTCAGTTTTGGAGCTTCTAAACGGAAAAACACTACTTTAGCTTACGAGATCCAGTTGCGGTTCAAGGTGTTATACCCAATCATACACACGTGATCTAGTTATATTTGACTCCAAAAACACTAACCATGCTTCTTATTGCCTCTCAAAGCTTTGTGGTTATGACCGAAGTCCTATGAGTTTTCGGTTATGGAGCTTCTAAACGGAAAAACACTACTTTAGCTTACGGGATCCGGTTGCGGTTCTAGTTCATATACCCAAGCATACACACGTGATCTAGTCATATTTGACTGCAAAAACACTAACCAAGCTTCTCATTGCATCTCAAAGCCTTGTGGTTATGGCCGAAGTCCTATAAGTTTTCGGTTTTGGTGTTTCTAAACGGAAAAACACTACTTTAGCTTACGGGATCCCATTGCGGTTCTATGTGTTATACCCAATCATACACACGTGATCAAGCCATATTTGACCCCAAAAACACTAACCATGCTTCTTATTGCTTCTCAAAGCTTTGTGGTTATGGCCGAAGTCCTATGAGTTTTTGGTTTTGGAACTTCTAAACGGAAAAACAATACTTTAGCTTACGAGATCTAGTTGCGGTTCTAGGTGTTATACCCAATCATACACACTTGATCTAGTCATATTTAACTCCAAAAACACTAACCAAGCTTCTTATAGCCTCTCAAAGCTTTGTGGTTATGACCGCAGTCCTATGAGCTTTCGGTTTTGGAGCTTCTAAACGGAAAAACACTACTTTAGCTTACGGGATCCAGTTGCCGTTCTACTTCATATACCCAATCATACACACTTGATCTAGTCATATTTAACTCCAAAAACACTAACCAAGCTTCTTATTGCCTCTCAAAGCTTTGTGGTTATGGCCGAAGTCCTATGAGTTTTCGGTTTTGGAGCTTCTAAACGGAAAAACACTACTTTAGCTTACGGGATCCAGTTGCGGTTCTAGGTGTTATACCCAATCATACACACGTGATCTAGTCATATTTGACTCCAAAAACACTAACCATGCTTCTTATTGCCTCTCAAAGCTTTGTGGTTATGACCGAAGTCCTATGAGTTTTCGGTTATGGAGCTTCTAAACGGAAAACCACTACTTTAGCTTACGAGATCCGGATGCGGTTCTAGTTCCTATACCCAAGCATACACACGAGATCTAGTCATATTTGACACCAAAAACACAAACCAAGCTTCTTATTGCCTCTCAAAGCTTTGTGGGTATGGCCGAAGTCCTATGAGTTTTCGGTTTTGGAGCTTCTAAACGGAAAAACACTAGTTTTGCTTCAGGATCCGGTTGCGGTTCTAGTTCATATAACCAAGCATACACAGGAGATCTAGTCATATTCGACTCCAAAAACACTAACCAAGCTTCTTATTGCCTCTCAAAGCTTCGTGGTTATGACCAACGTCCTATGAGTTTTCGGTTTTGGAGCATCTATACGGAAAAACACTACTTTAGCTTACGGGATCCGGTTGCGGTTCTACTTCATGTACCCAATCATACACACGAGATCTAGTCATATTTGACTCCAAAAACACTAACCAAGCTTCTTATTACCTCTCAAAGCTTTGTGGTTATGGCCGAAGTCCTATGAGTTTTCGGTTTTGGAGCTTCTAAACATAAAACACTACTTTAGCTTACGGGATCCGGTTGCGGTTCTAGGTGTTATACCCAATCATACACACGTGATCTAGTCATATTTGACTCCAAAAACACTAACCAAGCTTCTCATTGCATCTCAAAGCCTTGTGGTTATGGCCGAAGTCCTATGAGTTTTCGGTTTTGGTGTTTCTAAACGGAAAAACACTACATTAGCTTACGGGATCCCATTGCGGTTCTATGTGTTATACCCAATCATACACACGTGATCTAGCCATATTTGACTCCAAAAACACTAACCATGCTTCTTATTGCTTCTCAAAGCTTTGTGGTTATGGCCGAAGTCCTATGAGTTTTGATATCTTGTATTTTTGTTAGTTTTATAGCTTTGTTTCTCTTAGTTTTCAACCATTTTGCATTCATGTTTAGGTTATTAGGTGCATATTTGCATTGCATTTCTTACTTCTAGGTTCATGGAGTGGATTTTAGAGTTTTGATGGCAATTGGAGCACTAATGGGGTAAAAAGAAGTAAATCAAGCAAAAAGGAACTAAAGGAGTATGAAGAGAAGGAGAAGAAGATGCATCAGGTTTCTACGTCGACATATGCACCCTGATGCGAGATGTCCTGAAGACTCCGAATTCATTCCGTTGATACATCAGCCATCTACATCGACGTATGCACCCTGATGCGAGATGTCTTGAAGACGCAAGTTCATTCTGGTTATACATCAGCCATCTGCATCAGCGTGTGTACCCTGTTGCGAGCCAATTTTTCCTATGACCCGAATTCGAAAACCGGATCCGACCCGCCTGTTATGGGTCGACCCGGTCCGTTTTAGGCTTCTATTTAAGTGATTTTAGACCTAATTTTATGGGGGAGGCTTGTTTTGAATTTCTCTTTTCTCCTTTGAGATTTTGTATGAATCTTAAGTATTTTTATGCAATCTAGTCTTGTTTATTTTGAGATTTCTTCTTAATTTACTTTTGTCATTAAGATCATGCAAAGAAACAACATGGATCTTTGTGTTTTCACTATGATTAGTGAGTAGTATCTTTTGAGCCTTTGGGTTTAGTAGATTAGGGTGGTTGTTGATTGATTCAAGATGTTTAGGACTTAATCTTTATTGATCCTTACTCTCTAGGTGTTCTTAGTGCTAGATTAGTTTTGATTAAGCTAGTCTAGATCATAGGAAGTTTCATGCCCGGAAGGTGTTCGATGAAATTCCCGAAAGAACTTAGTGAGTGCTTAGCATTCCTAGCCAATGGAAATTGATGATTAGGGTGCTAGGTGGTTAGTTAGGCTTGAAATTAATGCATATTAGTCTTGTGATTGCCAATGGAAATTGATGTTAATTGCTTGATTAGTGTAGAGTTAGTACCATGGAAGTGGACTAGTTTACATTAGTGTTCTAAGACTAAAGGATTAGCATTGTTAGATTGATAGAGCATCTTGAATTGATTATTAATCACTCGAATCAATAATCTAAATCCGAAGACTCGCTTTCTATTTATAGACTTGAACCGCTTTGCTTATTTCTCGTTTTTTTTGATTTTGAATCTTGTTAGTCTTTTGCATATTGATTTCTTTTGTCTTGTTTTGCATTGTTTAGTTTAAATTGCATTATTAGTCAAATTTAGAAAACCAAAATCATCTATTTTGCTTAGATTAAGTGAATGTGTGCATTCCTAGTGTGTTGGTTCATTGCTCCTTGAGGTTCGATATTTAATTGGGTAGAAGTACTACATCAATTTGGCGCCGTTGCCGGGGAGCAGTAGCAATTAGCCATTAGGATTTCATTTTTGCTTGAGACTAAGCTATTTCATTTTCGCGCATATGATTAGATTCAGGCATCTAGTTGAGATGATGAATTTTCTTTTGTTTATTGTTACTAATTTGTCTTCCTTGATTCTCTTATGCTTTCGAAGGTACTCAAATCAAAAAAGAAAAATGGGAAGACAAGGTCATTTAAGGTGTTGGATGTGGACAATCATACAAACATTATTCAAGCTCCATAACCTCAAGAATTGATATCAAATACGACTCATGCTCGAGAGAACACACCCACAATAGGAAGATTTGATGCTCCTCATTATGAATCAAGATATGGAATCCGACCTCCTCTAATTGAAGTCAATGCTTATGAAATCAAGGCAAGTTTGATTAGATTTATTCAAGGCTCTAAGTTCTTGGGGCTAGCTATAGAGAATCCTTATGATCATTTGGACTCGTTTGAGAGGTTGTGTAGCACGTTTAGGATTAGAGGTGTGCCCGAAGATAGTATCAAGCTCATTTTGTTTCCATTTTCTCTTGGAGAAAAAGCAAGCCAATGGGAGAGAGCATTACCATCTCATTTCGTCAATTCTTGGGATGATTGTAAGAAGATCTTCCTTCTCAAGTTCTACTCTAGGCAAAAAACGGTCCAAATAAGAAATGACATAATGGGGTTTAAGCAAGGAGTCTACGAAAGTTTTCATGAAGCATGGGGAAGACTTAAGGGATATACTCGAGATTGCCCTCATCATGGATTCAACAAAGAAGCTATCCTTAGTATTTTATATTGGGGAGTTAAAAAGGAGTTAAAATTATCATTGGACATGGCTAGCAAAGGGCGTTTTGCAAATCTTACCGTAGAACAAGGAGAGTTACTTGTTGAGAATTTCGCCCAAAGTTATCAAATGTGCAATGAGATATGTGAGAAATCGCCTCGAGAAACACCAAATGATGACTACAAGTGGCAAAATTTGCAAGGTAAATCGGATGATGTGGAGAAGTTCATGATGATGCAACAAAGAAGAGTTAATATGGTTCATGAGAAACACCAACAAGATGGACTATGCCAAGTTCTACAAGAACAAAGATTTCAACCAAGAACTCAATTCACGAACCAAGGAAACTCTTCTATTCAACCTCCTCCTCAAGATAATGAAGTGAATGCTAAGTTGAAACAAGTATTAGAAGGCCAAATTAAGGGTTATACGGATTTTGGTAAGAGGTTCGTTGAGATGCACAACAAGATAGATGGGATGTACAATGATCTTGATGGTAAGATCACTAGCTTGGCTTCTCATATGAAAACCATTAATCTTAAGATTGCTCAAGCCTCTTCTAGTTCAAAGAATTCAAGTGGAGTATTACCGAGTAAATCCGAAGCTAATCCCAAGGAGTGTTGTAATGCTATCTTCACAAATAATTTGGATATAGTTGATGAGAATGAAAAGGCAATTGAAGAAATTTATAGACTTCTCCATGGTTCTAGTGTTGAGAGTTTGGCGGGTAATAGTGATGAGAAGATCGAAAAGGACACTAGAAAGAATGATGTGGTAATCAAGCGGGTTAAAAAGGATGAAACCACAAACATTGATCTCTCAAACAAGAGAGAAACGTTTCTCCACGTAAAAAACAAGGTCTCTTATCCAATTACGCTTGCTAAGCTTGATGAGGAAATCTTGGATGGTGAATGTCTACACTTCTTATTTGATGAGTGTGAAGGAAGTGGTAAAGATAAAAAGATTGGAAAAGTTAAGAAGGTTCTCAAAAAGAACAAGAGAGAAATGAAAGCAACCCACCCTCCCACCCTTGTTAATTCACCAATGCTTACCTCTTCAATGACCTTAACGCCTTTGAGGTATAGTGATGGAAAGATCGAGTATAAAGTACGGTTCAAGGGTCGATCCAATCCTTTTGCATTCGTTAAAGCGATCCTCCCAACAAAGTTCAAAGAAAAATGCTCAAAAGGTGTTGAAGAGTTCATGAAAGAGGTTCTCACACTTGCATTCAAGGATCCTACAAGGAGTCCCACTACTCCTCCTTGCAATCCTCTCCCTAAGACTCGCAACTAGAGCCAAGGTATGGTCCTATCTATCCTTTGTATATACCATTTTATTTCTTTTTCTCTTTGTTTTTGTTAGTCTTTTTCTCGGAATTATTCGCACCCCGAGACGGTGTGAAATAAGTTTGGGGGAGAGACTAACCATCTAATGTTGTGTTTTGTTTTGATTTTATTTCTTTGAGTCTTGCATTGTTAATAATTATGTTTTGCGAAAAATCAAAAAATTTGAAAATTTTGAAAAATCCAAAAAGAATCATATAGCTTTGCATATTCATTTTCTCTTTTAGGATTAAGTCTAGTAGCATCTAGTTTGCATTTGCATATGCATAGGGGATAATGATTTAATCACCTTGTAGAAATTCAAGCTTAGGATTGAACTTAAAGCCCCTAATCCTAGTTAATCGTTGCTTGATCATCTTGAAAAAAAATGGAAAATCCATGCTTAGACCTTTGCGTTTTTCGAATGCAATTTCTACTTGTATGAAGCTTGCATGATCTTTGAAACTTCTCTATGAATTTGAACTTAATTCTATTTTAATCTTCTCGCTTATGGATTTTAAATGCATTCTCATGGTTGTCTAAAAGACTCATTCGGGTTTTCTTATCCACTTTGCCACTCTTTTGTAAACCCGAATGACCATTCTCACCTTTAGAATGGTTTCCCTTACCCTAAACCTTAACCTTTTTCTTTCAAACCTATGATTGATTGTGAGTGAGGCCTCTTGTTTGAAAATGCTATAGATTATGAAATCTTGAGAGTATTGAGAACGACAAAGTCTTTGCTCTTGTTTTAGCTAGTTTTTGGAACATTTTTGACTAGCTACTAGGTTGGGAATGAAAGAGTTAGGTGGTTAGATTGAATATTTGGGATTGGGTTTGGGAAAAAGAAGAAAGAAAGAATGGACATAAAGGTTTGATCGATGATTCCCTAGGGAAGAAAATCATAAGTAAAAAAGCTCTATGTCTCTAAGTGTTAAGAGAAAGAAAAGTGTGAAGTTAGTTCCCCAAAAGAAAAAGATATTTACAAGGTTATAAGTAATGGGAACAAAGAAGAACAAAGTAAAGAGATAGAAAAGAGCTAAGTATTTAAGAGAACTTTTCCCTAGGTGACTACAAAAAGAAAGTGATCTTGAGATTGGTGATTTAAAAAGACCAACGTGTCTAGTGTTTGGGGTAGAAAGGAAGAGGAAAAGAATTTGCAAAAAGGGTAGAAATAGGAGTTTACATCTAAGACGGGTAGAACAACAAGAGCTTAACTTTGTATACATAAATTGTTCTTGGTCTTAGATGGATTTCATGATTGTCTAGCATTCCTTATCTTGAGAGAAAGCCACCAAAGTATGAATCTTTTGAAACCACCTCCAAAAACCTTTACCAAAACCGATTGAGAATGATTTACTTTCCATTTGCGAGACCGCGCCAAACACTTGAATGAATGTTAAAGAGATGTTTCAAACTTGATTGTGAGTCTTTACTAATAGTTGGAGATTGAAATAGAATCACGCATTGAAATGAATATGGAAAAGTACGAAAGAGTATGATGATTGACTCAAGCAAATTTGAACTATCTTTAAGGACTTTGAGTTGAATCCTTTGTTTGATATTTTGTGGCTATGAATCCCCACCTTCAAACTTCTTTCTCACCTTATTTCTTAGTTCTTGCTTGAGGACTAGCAAGAGATAAGTTTGGGGGAGTTGATATCTTGTATTTTTGTTAGTTTTATAGCTTTGTTTCTCTTAGTTTTCAACCATTTTGCATTCATGTTTAGGTTATTAGGTGCATATTTGCATTGCATTTCTTACTTCTAGGTTCATGGAGTGGATTTTAGAGTTTTGATGGCAATTGGAGCACTAATGGGGTAAAAAGAAGTAAATCAAGCAAAAAGGAACTAAAGGAGTATGAAGAGAAGGAGAAGAAGATGCATCAGGTTTCTACGTCGACATATGCACCCTGATGCGAGATGTCCTGAAGACTCCGAATTCATTCCGTTGATACATCAGCCATCTACATCGACGTATGCACCCTGATGCGAGATGTCTTGAAGACGCAAGTTCATTCTGTTGATACATCAGCCATCTGCATCAGCGTGTGTACCCTGTTGCGAGCCAATTTTTCCTATGACCCGAATTCGAAAACCGGATCCGACCCGCCTGTTATGGGTCGACCCGGTCCGTTTTAGGCTTCTATTTAAGTGATTTTAGACCTAATTTTATGGGGGAGGCTTGTTTTGAATTTCTCTTTTCTCCTTTGAGATTTTGTATGAATCTTAAGTATTTTTATGCAATCTAGTCTTGTTTATTTTGAGATTTCTTCTTAATTTACTTTTGTCATTTAGATCATGCAAAGAAACAACATGGATCTTTGTGTTTTCACTATGATTAGTGAGTAGTATCTTTTTAGCCTTTGGGTTTAGTAGATTAGGGTGGTTGTTGATTGATTCAAGATGTTTAGGACTTAATCTTTATTGATCCTTACTCTCTAGGTGTTCTTAGTGCTAGATTAGTTTTGATTAAGCTAGTCTAGATCATAGGAAGTTTCATGCCCGGAAGGTGTTCGATGAAATTCCCGAAAGAACTTAGTGAGTGCTTAGCATTCCTAGCCAATGGAAATTGATGATTAGGGTGCTAGGTGGTTAGTTAGGCTTGAAATTAATGCATATTAGTCTTGTGATTGCCAATGGAAATTGATGTTAATTGCTTGATTAGTGTAGAGTTAGTACCATGGAAGTGGACTAGTTTACATTAGTGTTCTAAGACTAAAGGATTAGCATTGTTAGATTGATAGAGCATCTTGAATTGATTATTAATCACTCGAATCAATAATCTAAATCCGAAGACTCGCTTTCTATTTATAGACTTGAACCGCTTTGCTTATTTCTCGTTTTTTTGATTTTGAATCTTGTTAGTCTTTTGCATATTGATTTCTTTTGTCTTGTTTTGCATTGTTTAGTTTAAATTGCATTATTAGTCAAATTTAGAAAACCAAAATCATCTATTTTGCTTAGATTAAGTGAATGTGTGCATTCCTAGTGTGTTGGTTCATTGCTCCTTGAGGTTCGATATTTAATTGGGTAGAAGTACTACATCAAGTTTTCGGTTTTGGAGCTTCTAAACGGAAAAACGATACTTTAGCTTACGAGATCCAGTTGCGGTTCTAGGTGTTATACCCAATCATACACACTTGATCTAGTCATATTTAACTTCAAAAACACTAACCAAGCTTCTTATTGCCTCTCAAAGCTTTGTGGTTATGACCAAAGTCCTATGAGCTTTCGGTTTTGGAGCTTCTAAACGAAAAAACACTACTTTAGCTTACGGGATCTCGTTGCGGTTCTAGGTGTTATACCCTATCATACACACGTGATCTAGCCATATTTGACTCCAAAAACACTAACCAAGCTTCTTATTGCCTCTCAAAGCTTTGTGGTTATGGCCGAAGTCCTATGAGTTTTCGGTTTTGGTGTTTCTAAACGGAAAAACACTACTTTAGCTTACGGGATCCCGTTACGGTTCTAGGTGTTATACCCAATCATACACACGTGATCTAGCCATATTTGACTCCAAAAACACTAACCAAGCTTCTTATTGCTTCTAAAAGCTTTGTGGTTATGGCCGAAGTCCTATGAGTTTTCGGTTTTGGTGTTTCTAAACGGAAAAACACTACTTTAGCTTACGGGATCCAGTTGCGGTTCTAGGTG